TTTAGAGCTTAAAGTAGACTTTAATAGGTACATCAGTTCAGTTTGTACTACTTTCAGAAGAAATTTGACTAAAAGAATTTACTTAATAAGTAAATACTTTTCTCCACTACGCCCATGGTGTGTTTATCATTTTGTTGTTGAAAATAGCTATTGGAGCTTTTTTTGTGGCAAAAAAGTTATTTCTTGAAGAAAGGTAAGCAAATATCTCGTACTTATTTTAAATAGGAATTTAGTACATAGCTTGCGATTGATGTGACCAAACTTTGTTGGTAAAATAACTTGTAACTCTTTATTACATAAATTAACCGTGGTATATTCCACAGCAGAAAGAGTTGAAAATATCGATATATTTTTCGGAAATAATCAGTGCGCTAATAGAACAGCAGAAATATTTAATGAGTGGCATGAGAATTGTAACGTGCATCGAAAATATGTTCTAGAATTTGTAGCTAAATTTCGGGAAACTGGGTCAGTCACCAATAAAAAGCGCAATATTGAAAATCCCATAAGGAACGAAGCAATAGAAGTGGGGGTTTTAGGGCAAGTTTATGTAGATCTCACGTTAAGTACCCGCAAATTGGAGACTGTGTGTGGTGTTAGTCGACGTACTGTCCAACGGATTCTAAAGGCCCATAGTTTTCATCCGTATAAAATTCACGTGGTACAAGAACTTAATAACGACGATTTTGATCGGCGATTACAATTTTGTGAAGATATGAGTGAACGAATTATAAACGATGAACATTTTCTATTCAACACTTGCTTTTCCAACGAATGTTCCTTTTGCTTAAATGGCGCAGTAAATCGTCATAACTGCCGATATTGGTCCGATTCTAATCCCAGAATGTATCATGAGGTTCATACACAGCAGCCACCAAAATTAAATGTTTGGGCTGGTATTTTTGGCTATCATTTAGTTGGTCCTTTTTTCTTACCTGGAAACTTGACCGGTGAAATGTATTTGGAATTACTGGAAGACGCCATAGATCCTGCATTAAAAGCCATCATTGAAAGTCAGAATGATCGGCGGTACATTGCGAATAGGATGATGTTCCAACAGGATGGTGCCCCACCACATTACGCATTACGTGTTCAACAATATTTAGATCAGACGTTTCCAGATCGATGGATTGGTAGAAGAGATGCCATTGAATGGCCCCCAAGATATTAGTTTTATTTTAGCTTTAAATCAATAAATCTTCAAAACTACTGAACTGAAGTACATTAATTTTATATCATTATAAAGGGAATTGAATGACCTTTAAAATAAGGTATCACTCGACCCCCCCTTTCCATTTAAGATTTTGGGGGCAGTGTCTCCCCCGCTTAGGGGGCTGTACGTGCTAACGTGATTTTTTGCCAAATTTGTGTCCCCCTCGAAAACAAAATCGACCGGTCTGAGCGTTTCTAAAAGAAAACTGAGCTGCCAGTAAATGCTTCTGTTTCGTTTTCGATGCGGCACCCTGTATATACACATATTTAGAGCCTTTAGTATGCCATTAATTAAAATCATTTTTGGTGTAAAGTGAATTTTTTATCATTGTCAAAACTGTAAAGCCCACTTGCTCATAATTGTATTTCTGGATTGGTTCCTTTCTGTAAAAGGCCGTCCATGTTGAAGGTAGTGTGAGCAAAGTTTTGTTTCCATGTCCAATTTATTGTTTAAGCTATTATCTTAAACATTGGAAATACATTCATTTCCAATACTACCTCTTTTCAATTTTTGCCAGGTTTTCGAATAAATAGACTCCTGTGCGTCATCATGCAGACATTCGTGACGAGGCACACAGTGGACGCCCAACACTGCTATCAATGAAGGTATTGTTGATTCACTCTATGATATAGTATATGCGTTGATGATAAACTAACGACTTTTTACGTAATTGTGTTTCATATTTTGCAGAACGAATTAGGGTCTAGAAAGCTAGTGGTAGGGGGTGTGCCGCAGTTGCTAAGTTTGGATCAAAAATGAATTCTAGTAAACTACGATATCAAACTGCAAAGCAAAGTTGTCGGATCGTTTGAAAATATTATGGCTTCTACTTTTGGGATGCAAAAGGGATATTATTGCTAGGTTGGCTACAGACTGGTAAAACTAAAACAGCAGAGGAATACTGTGACCTTCTTGATAAGGTGGCTGTAAATATTCAAGGGAAAATGTCAGATTTATATAAGAATTATATTTCAAATTGCTTGAACGGCCACCTTTCTCACCAGACCTACCATCTTGCCTCTCATTTGTTCCCACGTTTTATGAAGTCCAAGTGAAAGATTCATTATACAGACGCAGACGTACACCTCAAAAACCTTCCAGAACATCATCAAGGTGTAAATCAAACAAAATATCGCTGGAAAAACGCTGTATTGAATTAGATTATACTGAAAAAGAGCCAATTGCGCCAACAAGATCTCCGAGTCCGGTCTAAAATTCCTTTCGTCGCATGTTATCTAATAATTAGAATTGCTGAAGATTGCTGATCATATGATTAGATCCAAATATTGTAATTTGGGTCTAGGTTATGCTTCGCAATTAGAACGATCGTAACATGTCACAGCGTTTGTACCGGCGAAAGTATTTTTTATTGCAAATGGGTAGGTAAAATCACACCTGTTCTCTACTCTATAGTATATAAGGTGTCTGTAATCAAATTTTTATCATTATCACATTCTGTGTATTCAACAAGCAGACATGGCTTTCAAAGTAAGTATTGTTCTCTATACAAAATACCATTTTGTGGTATTTGTTTTCCATTTATCGATACTATCCTACTTTTAGAAGTGGATAACGTTCTCAACACTTCTCGTTACAATATATAACGAACGGCTGGTAACAAATCTTCAAAGATAGTTTGTCCAACAGGGTGGTTCCTTTGGTCTATTATATTCTTTAAATCTGCTGGAGTTGCATAACTTAAATGATACCTAAGATTGTAAGCTCAGTGGTAATTGAGCTATAACAATAGTTTGGTAGACATTTAAATTGGTTTTGCTTTCCAAAAACCAAAAATGGACGAAACACCTATCAAGGAATAACCTCATATTTATAAATAAGCCCATTGTTTTATATGCTATTATGTGCTAAAATTAAGATATCCAAAAAAGCTTCATACTTTTATATCTGATATGAGCTATTGCGATAGCTTCTTAATGTCTTCCAAATTTACATAGAAAGTGCACATAATATTTTTAATGGGTCTCTGTCTCTTCTAGTTTGTGATCTTCGTAGCCTTTGCAGCTGTAGCCAATGCTGGTGTGATCGGTTACGAACCTCACCATGCTCAGCACTACTCTGATGCAACTGCAGTGTCATATTCCAGCGTATCTGCTCCTGTATCTGTTCACCACGCTGCCCCAGTCAAATACGCCGTACCTGTTGTCAAATATGCCGCTCCTGTTGTTAAATATGCCGCCCCAGTTGTAAAATATTCTGCTCCAGTAGCCTACACTGCCCCACACCACCATGAACATGAGGAATACTATGCCCCAGCTCATTACGAATTCGCTTACAACGTGCAGGATCCTCACACTGGTGAGTGATAAACAAACGTTCATCGATACAGAGCTGTCACAGTTCATTAGACAGTGTAGCTACTAGCGTGTGTCACAATTTTTTACGCAGTGGTATATACTTCAGCTTTTAACACTAGTCTATTAGACATATTTCACACATATATTACCCTATATATTTGCTTTTGTATATAAGGAACACACTAGCCGCTGATAGCTCTCGGGCGACCACTCACGTGACGTATTTTTACCTAATCAGCTGAGAAGCGGTCAACGATACATCGACGGTGTAAGAATTGCGACTACTACGGCAATATAACTTATTGAATATAAACAATCTGATGGGGTAATAAGGGCTGTAGATATTCAGGTATGAAATAACGAATAGAAGTTTACCAGACTTCTGCGAATATGAAGATATTTTGTGGAATGAAGAATCTCATTTATTTCATTTTACATTTTCTGCAACCATATAATATCAGGGCGTAAGAAAATTTTCCTAGATTATTCCAAAAAGAAATTAAATTCGCAATACTTTTTTTTAATCATATTCATTGCCATACCTATACGTGACCAGCTGTAAGGGTTTAACATAGCTGATACACTAAGCCTGCTTAATCTTGCATATTCAAAGGCCTTAATTTCAACGTATGTCCAAATCACAAATGTTTTTTTACATTTACTTGTTTTACTTTACGTATTATGACAGTTTTCAAGATTTTCATTGCCGGCAAACAATAAAGGCACCTAAGCATACAACGGTTCAAGGTCCATTTGTCCAGAATTGCCTGCGAAGCACAGACTCAAGCTACTTGAGAGGCTATCCCTTCATTCATAAAGTAGCCGCTTCAACCTTGGGGAACAAAATGAGTAACTCAAACTTATCCAGTTTCTCAAATTAAAAGCAAGCTGGAAAATCTTCTGTACTTTTAAAAAATGACCTTTTATTACGAATATAACATATTTGGGGTAGACTATGCCCTACCAATGATCGTGAAACAAGATTTTTTTTTTATTTTGAGGACACTTGGAAGAAAATGTTACTTTGGTCATACAGTGCTATACAAATTGTCAGTTTTGGCTTATAACACGGCACAACTTACGAGTATATCGCGTATATAAGCTCTTTTGATTGGTGGATGAGGACTCTTTAGGAAGAAGGACCCCAGTACGGAGCCTTGTGGCACACCGGAGCTCCCCAAAATACATTTAACTCCTGCTAGCTAGCGCTAGTATAACTGGAGGTCAAATCGTCAAAAACAGATGGGGAAAAGACAGATTTCATAGATTCGGGCAGCTTATAATCTTATACGAGTACATGACCGCCAACCTAACTCTCACAGCGTCATCTAATTTGTATCATGGCTGTAACTATGTAGCATTCAAAATTGATAACACACACCAATTTGTACTATTACTATATATACTATTTTTCTTCTGCAGGTGACTTCAAAGAACAACATGAAACCCGTAAAGGAGACGTAGTCAAAGGCATGTACTCCTTGGTTGAAGCTGACGGTACCAAGCGTATTGTAGAATACACTGCTGACGAACACAACGGTTTCAACGCAGTGGTCCACAAGCAAGGAACCCCAGTTGTCAAAGCCGCAGTACCAGTTGTTGCTAAGTACGCAGCTCCTGTGGTCGCTAAGCTAGCAGCCCCTGTAGCTTATGCTGCGCCATCTTATGGACACTATTACCATTAAATCGTTGTAGAATTTGATTCTGTTGTTTTGTATATATTTATTTATTTATTATGTTAATAAAGTGAGCAAACATCAAATCTTCAGTCTGTTTGTTTTCTGAGTATCAGTAATGTGATCCGATAAGGTTGTGTGCAAAGATGAGAGATTCTATGAACGTCTAATGTACCCTAAGTCATAATAGCACAAAAATAATGTTTTTGGAAATACAAGTACCTTAGCTAGAAGAAATGTTCGATTTAGAAAAAAATTGCCGTTTTAGAAAAACAGTATTGTTTCAATAGCGGTCCTATCGCAGACACCTCCGAAAAGTGAGTCTTAACTTAAACTGAATCAAATAATCTGAAAATTTATATGCTGTTGTTTTTAGAGTCGCTAGTTAAGAATCTTTTCTCAAAATTACTAAGTTTCCAAAAAGACGTAACCAGCATCCTGTGTCTGGTGCCGAAATTAATAGAACTGTACTGGTACAAGAGCGGTTCAATTTATAGAGGGTACATCTGTTATTAATGATGATCCATACTTCCCAAAAATATTATCGTTGAGTCGATATAATGTGGAGTGTAACAACTTGTTGCAGTTTTGTATTGGGTCTAGGCTGTCTCTGTCCATGAAAATTACTATTTGGAGCTTAAGCTAGTTATTAAGTCAATCCAATTTTGTTGAATTCTATGAAGTTTTTAAATTAAGCGTTGTTTAAGAAAAGGTGACTTTCCGAAGCGTTTTTTTAGAGGCCCTTGTGTCTTTATTTTGTGTTTTATGACTTTACGAGGGATCGACATATAATTATGTATGTATACCCAGTATATTGAGTATAGATTTACTAATGTCTTGTTAGTGTCATTTTGAAAGAGACCAACGAGCTGCCTAGTACGCTTTCGTTTCTACATCTATGGTTTCATTTGCCCAGCGTAACATCGAGATTGAGTAGCGCGCAGACGGTCAACCAAATATCAAGCTCCAAATACATTGCGTATTTCTTTCATTTAATTGTAAAGGGTATCCCATAATTATGGCGTTAATTACAATTAACGCAGGATTTGAATATGCCGCTATGTTTGCAGTAAATTGTAGGCAGACCTGAAAATATAAAACAATTCGATAGCTGAGAGGCTAAGGGCCGATTTCACCAACATTAATATTATGGACCAATGGGAAAATAGCTTATCGAAATGCAATTTGACAGAAGCTGTCGAAGGTCTCTGACTATTAGTGATTTCTATTGAAATATTGAATATAATCGTGAAAATTCGACTGTATTATAAACAAGACCACTTTTTGATTCCAACATGATGCTTTTGTACAGTAAAAACAGGACAACTTTCATGTATTTTGATATATGTTATAGGTTTACATTTAACAATCCGTTATCCCCCTCAGCGAATGGGAATGCGGCAAATAATAGGTCGATTTTCTAGCTGTTAAATTTGGCAGCAGATTTGGACGTTTGTTAATGCATGGCACTCTCGAATTTACCAACTTCAATATACTGAAAGTTATCATTACATAACTGTTGAATTGTGTGGATTAGTCTGTATTTTGCAAGAAAATAGAATATAAAATACATTCCATCCAATTCCTCATCTTCCTTTACATCATAATAGATTTATTAATTTATGGGTTAATGAATTTTTTTAGAGCAATAAAAACATTATGTCCTCTCCATCCTAAAACACAGATAATATGTGTAAGACGTGTCAATCCCTACATCTCCCTGATGCATAATGCAATTACTATGGACATAGACAAAAAATTATGAAGAATGTTTCACACATAATGGCTTTTAAGTCCAAAAATCAAAAAAACTAGTAATATTTATTGTTTGGCTATTTTGCTTTTTTGACTGGCGGTTATATCTATCTGTCACTCACAGGGTTGCCAAGTCTAACGACGATCACGTCCCGTGGTGTAGGGTGCGAAATGATTCTTTTACATTTGCTGGTTTTGAATTTTTTTCGTGAAAATTTACTAGGTATCATGATTATAAGCATCTTTGGTAGATTGTTCGATCCGGAATGGGACAGATCTATTGATGAAAATATTTTTGGTATCATCTAACCGTTGCAATCAGTGCACCAACACTGTGACATATAATTTATAGCATAACCCGCTGCCCGATCAATACAAATTTAACATACAGGTCGCCTAGCCGTGGAGATGCAGTGGTCGGGATGAATATCACGGCAGCAACTGATGATTTGGGCATGTCTGGTAACAACGTATGAAGTGAAACTCGCTAGCTTCACAAATTTGAAGATTTTGTACAATTTCTTTGAAAATGATGAAAGATATGTCTGATTTGGCAGGGTAATGTCGCAGCCAAATGGCAGTCACCCTTTCTGACACAGTCCCGATCGAAAGATGACGATACTCGTGAAATGTATGGATACCTCTAAATATAGGATCGTATCGAACACCACTACTGTCAAGATGTATAACCCAAGGTACCGACGGAGCTATATTGAGTCGTCATGGAAATAATTTTAAATTCTCATTTGCATTTTTTCAAGTGTTGTGCAATGATTTTGCGAAAAATGTCACGAATAGTCTTATAAAGCATATTAGAGTATATTTCAACAGTTGGCGGAACTTACTCCACTGGGACCAGGAGGGTGAAACGGGATATTAATGCACAATCTGGCAACCCTGTCGCACCCTCACAAAATGGCCGCTGATAATCACACTTGTCACCGTGTTGTCATTGAATAGCATGGTATTAAACTTTCAGAGTATAAGTTTTGTGACTGGTACCAAGAGTTGACAGATTCCACACATGTGTCACTCCTTGAAATGCAATAATCAGCTGTATTCAAATAATGTTTAATATAAATATAACCTAGAATGTGTACTCGTGAAAAAAAAATATGGCAAATTTGTAGTTTTTTGCAAGTTTTAGGTTTGCTGGTAGCTTTAAGGCATATATTTGGGAATTTCTTAATCGCTGTGAATATAGTGTGGATGTTTGTTCAGTTCCTGAACAACGAAAAATATTCAACTTTATGGATGTATGGTTATCAAAAAACCTGAATGGTTTTGTGGGAATGTCAATCTAAGGTGCCATAATGGTTCTGATGAACGGCAAGTAAATGAATGAATGTTTGGAAACGAGCAATATCTATGAACTTTTTGGTAGAGCCAGTCATCAAGTAGGTGCTTAATGGCTATCTGCAAGAGGTTTATAGGAAAAAACCCAGTATCACATATCGGTTGAAGAAAATAATATAAACATGAATAAAAAATCAACAATAGTAATTAAAACATGAATTTAATTCAAAAATCAAACATTTCTCAAAATTTTGACTGAATTATATGTAATTTCTTAATATTCAATAAGCTGGTGATGTTTCAATGACAAGTTGTCATCTCATACTTTGACAGTATTTTGTTTTCAACATTTCATAGCTTTTTTTTTGCTAAAATTTGTTGATTGGAACTTGAAGCTCATTCGCTGTATCTGACGGTCTGTTACCGTATAGGTGAAGAATAACGGGCCGTTGTTGGTGAAATTGGCCCTAATGTTAGTAAAAATGGATCGTTGTAGGAGCCAGCAACGCGTTAGCATCCGTAGTTCGAAAATGTTAAACAATATATGGCCGGAATAGTGTTTTACCCTCGTCAACTGTGAAAAGATTAATTGAAACATTCAGGGAGACTGGTCGTCTAAAAACAAGCCGTTCAAATGTCCACGTCGAAGCAGTGAGAGTGTTGGTAAAAACCCAGGAACGTCAATTCGGCGTCATGGATAAGAATTGCAAATTTCAAGAAGTTCTCTACCGCGTATATTCACAAAAGATCTGTGTCTCCATGATAGCAAAATTCAATTAACTTAACAACTGAAGCTTATATTAACAGCGAACAGAGTTCGTGGAATGGATTATTTATTGAACATAAATATGTGGATGGTGATTTTTCGAGCAAAATCATACTAAGCGATGAAGTACATTTTCACCTTGATTGCCGTGATAATCACCAAAATTGCCATTTTTGGGGTTCGGAGAACCCACGTTTAATTGTCGAAAAACAAAAGCACTCACAACATGACACTGTTCGGTGCGGATATTGGGCTGGAGGCATCATTGGACCATAGCTTTTTGAAAATGGGACTGGTGAAGCAGTAACTGTTACTGGTGCTCGATATCGCGACATGATAACATAGTTCTTTCTGCAAAATTAAATACAGCCAGTGAAGCAATTTAAGAGACATTTGCTGGTCGTGTACTTTCCCGCTTCGATGATCAGAATTGCCCCCCTAGATCATGTAATTTAACACTATGAGATTTCTTCCCCGATAGCATTAAATATATACTAAATATTTAAAAAAAACGTTTGTTAAATATTTGTAGAGACAGATATTATAATATTTAATAAATATATTTCTTATATACTAAGTGACATATAAATCCGAACACCTAGTTTAAATGGTTTTATTTTAATAAAATTTTGTATAAGTACTTAATGAAGCATAATAAGTAAATGATAAAAATTTCAAAATGATTGCACTGCTTTAAAGCCTTTTGACCTTTAATAATGTGTAGATGCATCCTGATGTGCTACGCATTCTCCAACGCGCCTAGGCATGCTTCTGATCAGGTGGTCAATGTCCTCCTGTGGTATCTCATTCCAGGCAACTACCAAATCCTCTCGAAGTGCTTCTAGAGTCTGAGGAGGACGTTGCAAATTGAGCAATCTCCTACCCATCATATCCCACACGTGCTCAATTGGGGATAAGTCGGGAGATCTTGGTGGCCATGGTAACAATGTGACATCATTATGTTGAAAGACGTTTATTGTGACCCTTGCAACATGTGGTCGGGCATTATCTTGTTGGAAAGTTGGATCTGCCAAGGTGTCAAGATAGGGTAAAAGATGGAGTTCTAGAACTTCGTGGATATAACGCTGCGCGTTCATGTTACCTCTGATGAAGATTAAAGGTGACCTGGAACCATAAGCTATAGCACCCCAAACCATAACTCCAACAGTGTGATGAACATGTCTTTCAACAA